ACCCAATGTGACTGTGCTCGGGAGAGAGGAGCAAGTGATGGACAACAGTATAGGGCTGGATGTGTTGTTTGGCCACCAGCAAGTGGGAGAAGCCAAATAGACAGACCTGGACAAGACACATAGAGACAGCAGCGCGATGTGTGAAACGTGACGAGCATGGACAGTCAAATCGCTTCAAAGCGCGATGGGTGGTGAAGGGATGTGGACAGACATGGGGAACATATGATGAGACGTACGCACCTGTCAGCCAAGGATTCACCTCGCGCATGTTCGTTGCTGGCGCATCTACCACAAAGTGAAAAGTGGTGTAACTTGGCATTCCCAATGTGTCCCTGTATACACCAATCGACAAGGACGTGCATGTGAGACCGCCAGGATCACGACGAGATGGAGACAAGGTCTGGAAACTCAAGCGCAGCGTATACGGATTCAAACAGGCACCACGCTTGTGGCATCAGCACTTACGTGGAGTGCTGCTGGAGCTGAACATGATGCAGTCAGGATACGACCCCTCCATGTTCATCTGCAAAAGAATATGGAAAGACATGGTGTGGCTGCTGACTTATGTGGACAACATTCTTATTCAATCTGATGATGAGGAGCGAATTCAAGCAGTGATTCAGCACTTGAAGAAGTACTTCACATTGACCATCGAAAATACCGTGACGCAGTTTTTGAGCCTCAACGTTGCTGTTGAGACTGACACAATCTCCTTGGGACTCACCAAGTACATCTCTCATGCCTTGGCAAACTTCGGGATGGAAGGGAGCCGTTCTAAAGTTCATACGCCAATCTCCAAGGAGCCTGGACTGCAAGGAGAGTCACCATACAAGATTGACAGACAACTGGTGATGAAGCAAGTGGGGACGTTGTTGTACATCTCAACAACATGGAGGCCAGACATAACATATGCAACACATATGGTGGTCAGACAAGCCAGCAAGCCAACAGCTGCAACCTATTGAAGGAATTTGGCCCCGCCCTCGCATGGGCAAAACTGACTTCGTGGTCGGGTGTGCGGGAGGTGCAGCCGACCTTCTGCAGGTGTGCAAGGGTTGCCTGTACACGAGGTGTACTAGGGAATCCATGCAAGAGTAACTGAAGCATCCGCGTGTCAAACTATGTGCTGCTTGTTGTGTAGGCTGTAGTGGGGTACCCCATATGGGGTACCCCATATGGGGTACAACCCAAATTAGGGTTTGCTACTTGTACCCATCCTGCTGCTAGTTCATCCATTCCTGTTCATTATTCTGACATGGTTTCAGAGCAGGTCCTAGCCTAGGACCGATCTCTTAGGGCCCACCGAGTAGCGCTACCCCACCCGTCGCGCTAGTGTGATCACCTCGTACTGCCCTGCCCTGCACTGTCCTGCCCTGCCCTGCGTTGCCTGCTGCAGCGCGCTCTGCTTTGCGTGCACGCCGACTGCTGCAGCGCGCCCTGCTGAGTTGCGCGCCACCTGCTGCAGCACGCCCTGCCCTGCCCGCGCCGCGCGCCGCGTCGCCCTGCCCGCGCGCCGCGCCGCGCGCCTCTGCCCTGCCTGCGCGCGCGCCTCTGCCCTGCCCGTGCGCGCGCCTCTGCCCTGCTCGTGCGTGCGCCTCTGTCTTGCCCGCGCGCGCGCCTCTGCCTTGCCCGCGCGCACGCCTCTGCCCTGCTCACGCGCGCGCCTCTGCCCTGCCCGCGCAACGCGCCGCCGCGCGCCTCTGACCTGCCCGCGCGCCTCGCCGCCGCGCGCCTCTGCCCTTGCCCTGCCGTGCGCGCCCTGCCCTGTGGCACGCCCTACCCTGCCGTGCGCGCCACGCGCCGCTCTCTGCTGCACTGCTGCTAGCGCACTCCCCTGCCTAGCCCTGCCTGCGTGCTGCTAGCGCGCTCGACTTCTCCGATCGCTATGGCCACTCTCAACGTTCTCACCTTTGATTCGGAGGGCCGCCCGATAGAATTCAATGCGTGGCTAGACGACTTACAGCTGTTCCTGCTGACAGACTCTAAGGACGGTACCTCACTGTTTGACCTCACTTCTGGCGCCTCGCCCGCCCCTGCCGCTACAGCTGAAGGTGCGACCCGCTCACAGTGGCTTACCCGTGACGCTGCTGCTCGCCTAGCTGTTCGCAAAAAGCTGCCGTTAGGCGAACGCGCCCACTTTGGCCAGCATAAGACAGCTAAAGCACTGTACGACGCTGTAGTCGCTCGTTACTCCTCCCCGGCCACTGCTGCTCTAGGCCACCTTCTCCTGCCCTACCTATTCCCAGACCTGTCCGCCTTTGCCACAGTAGCCGACCTAGTCACTCACCTTCGCACTAGTGACACTCGCTACCGTGCAGCTCTCCTCGCCGAGTTTCTCACCAAGAACCCCCCCCCCCCCCCCCCATGTACATCACGCTCTACTTCATAGTCACCCGCCTCCCCGACTCTCTTACCGCAGTCAGGGACCTCCTCCTAGCTCTTGACCCCACCGACCTCACTGTCGACCTGCTCGAGAAGCACCTCCTAGCAGCTGAGACTAGCATAGTCGCTGTAGGTGCTTCTCGTGACACTCCTCGCACCCTCTTCTTTGAGGGATGTTCGCCCTCCCCCCTTCTCCCCTCAGTCGCCTCTGCTGCAGCTGTTGACTACCTTCGTGCTGAGGAGGTAGGAGCTGCGTCTGCCCCTAGTGGGAGGCGTCGCAACGGTAGGGGCAGGGGAGGCAGGGGCGGTGGGGGCGGCAGAGGTGGAGGCGGTGGTGGGGGCGGTGGAGGCGGTGGTGGGGGTGGCGGTGGAGGAGGTAGTGGTGGTGGGGGCGGCGGGGCAGGTGGCGGCGGTGGTGGCGGCAGTGGGAGTGGTGGCGGCAGTGGTGGTGGCGGCGGTAGTGGCGGCAGTGGGGGTGGAGGCGGCGGCAGTGGGGGCGGCAGGGGTGGCACCAGCCAGAGGGGAGGCCTTGGAGGTGGCCAGCGGCAGCAGCAGCGTCAGCCCCTTTCGTCTCAGGAGCTCCGTGAGTGGTTTGCTCAGCGTGGGGCGGCTGGGGGTAGTGGTCCCTGCCCGTATGTCATTCGCACAGGTGACCGCACTGGTCAGACATGCGGGAGGTCTCACACTCAGCACCGCTGCTTCTACCGCCTTACCGACGCCTTCCGCGCAGAGCTCCCCGACGCGGCTGAGCTCCCCGACTGGGCGGCGCTGCTTAGGCAAAATGTTGATATCTTTGCTCTAGACTTTGATGCTATCCTATCTGCCATGTATGCATTGACGGTTAGTGCTGAGGGTGACTGTTACCTGTGTATGCCGCCAGACCCAGGTATAGAGGCTGCTGCTCTAGGTGCTAGTGAGTCTGCTGCCCTAGGTGCTGGTGAGTCTGCTCTCTCTGGTACTGCGTCTGCTGCGGCCTTGCACACCTTCACGCTTGACTCAGGTGCCTCCCGCTGTTTCTTTCGCGACAGTACCACAGTCACACCGCTTACTGCACCTGTGGCTGTGTCTTTGGCTGACCCCTCTGGGGGCCCAGTCCTTGCACGTTCCTCCACTGTTCTGCCCTGTCCAGCGGTTCTGTCTGGGTCACTGTCAGGTCTCCACCTCCCCTCGTTCTCTACGAACTTGGTGAGCACTGCAGTCCTCCAGGATGCGGGGGTTGACACCTTCACCCCTGGACGGTAGCGTGTGGCAATCTGTACGTGCTCCCGGACCGGCCGCCACCTGGCCACGTTCACCCGTCAGCCTGGGTCGAGTCTGTACACACTGACTACTGTGTTAAGATTAGCAGGCAGAAACAGAATTGAAGAAAGGAGGGGTTTCACTAGCAGCAGTTGGGATACATATAGCAAACCCTAACTGGGTTGTACTCGCTATAGAGCACCCCACTACAGGCTAGATAATAACATTCTGACACACCCCCATAGCCAAAGTGGGGTGTAATCAGTACAATGAGCAGGCATAGCAGTAGTTCACAATTACAAGCAAAGCTAGTGGCTATCACAGAGGGCAAGTGAGGAGGAGGAGAGACTGTGGGGGCGAGAAGATGGGAGGCGACTGCTGAAGCTGCAGACACACAGGAGCTGCTGGCTCAGTGGCTACCGAAGCAAAGGCCCGGACTACAGGAGTAACTGGCTCCGCGGAGATTGTAGCCTCCTGACTGGAGCAACTGACCCACAGGCGACTGGCGACTACCGGAGATTGTAGCCTCCGGACTACTGGTGCTGCTGGCGACACGACTGCGACCTCCGTTCAACCTCCGCCAACTGCCCCACGCCCCTATCACACACCCCCTGCAGAAACCCTAGCTCTACTTCCACGTCACCCCCCCACCTCCACTCCCCGCGGCTCCCACACCTCCACCCCCCTCAGCAGCAGCTGCAGTAGTGGGAGACGAACAAGGAGGAGGGGAACACCCACACCGCGCACCCCCATGCTTGCCACCCCACACCCCCCACCACCGCGGAACGCACGGCGGCACGGGAGGAATGGGCAGCACGGGGGAAGGGGGGGGGGGGGGGGGGGGGGGGGGGGGAGACGGTACAGAAGGGGGGCCGCGCGCTCCTCCTCAGGGCGCCGAAACGGACGGGCGAGGAGGCGCGCGCGGTTCCCCAGGGCGCCGCAACAGACGGGCGGGGGGCGCGCGCGGCTCCCCAGGGCGCCGCGACGGACGGGCGGGGGCCGCGCGCGACTCCCCAGGGCGCCGCGACGGACGGGCGGGGGGCGCACGCAGCTCCCCAGGGCGCCGCGACGGACGGGAGGGGGCCGCGCGCTACTCCCCAGGGCGCCGCGACGGACGGGAGGGGGGGCGCGCGCGGCCTGCAGGGCGACGCGACGAGACGGGCGGGGGCTGTGCGCGGGTCCCCACAGCAGAAAACCGCTCGCAGCTGTAAGCGTGTGCAGCGACGGTCGCAATGTGGGGGGAGAGAGGGAAGGGGGAAGGGCGTGGCGGCGGACCACCAGCCACCTTGCCAACCGACGCGCCAGCTGGACACACCAGCGGCGGCCGCCTGCACTGGAGCCTGCGCACCCAGTTCGCGCAACCCATCTGCGCAACCCGCCTACTCGCCCGCCCCATGCCCGTCTCCCCCCCCCCCCCCCCCGTCGCGACTGTTCGCAGGTGCAGCGGCGGTCGCTTTGGGGGGCAGAGGGAGGAGAGGAAGGGAGTGGCGGCGGAGCACTGTGGGGGGGAGGCGAAAAGGGGGAAAGGGGTGACGGCGGGACGTCCGCCAGCATCAGCACCAGCACCGACACCAGGCACCAGCACCAGCGCCAGCCGCCTCCGGTACCGCCAGCAGTTACAACGCCAGCGACACCGCCAGTAGAGCCCCCGCCAGCAGAGACCCCGCCAGCAGAGACCCCCGCCAGTAGAGACCCCCGCCAGCAGAGACCCCGGCCAGCAGAGACCCCCGCCAGCAGAAACCCCGCCAGCAGAGACCCCGCCACGCCAGCAGAGACCCCCTCCAGCAGATACCCCCGCCAGCAGAGCCCCCGCCAGCAGAGACCCTCGCCAGCAGAGACCCCGCCAGCAGAGACCCCCGCCAGCAGAGACCCCGCCAGCAGAGCCCCCGCCAGCAGAGACCCCCGCCAGCAGAGACCCCGCCACACCAGCAGAGACCCCCGCCAGCAGATACCCCCGCCAGCAGAGACCCCCGCCAGAAGAGACTCCCGCCAGTAGAGCCCCCGCCAGCAGAGACCCCGCCAGCAGAGCCCCCGCCAGCAGAGACCCCGCCAGCAGAGACCCCGCTGCAGGGACTACCGTGGGTGGGGCAGGGGTGTGGAGGAAGAAAGGGGGGCCGGGGTGAGGTTCTACGGGGCGGCTGAACGGGGGAGTGAGGTCAAGGGGGGGTGGTTGAAAGGGGGTGGGGACTTGGGGGTTACTAAGAGGGGTTTCGCCACTGGTGGCTCGCATTGGCTTGGTCATGGACATCGCCCGCACGTCCATGATTCATGCCCGTGGCCCCCATTTTCTGTGGCCCTACGCGGTTCGCTACGCCGCTCACCAGCTGAACCTCCAGCCGCGCGTCTCGCGGCCGGAGGCTTCACCGACCAGTCTTTGGACCGGGTCCCCTGGTGTTGGGTCAGCCTTTCGTGTATGGGGCTGCCTTGCGCTTGTCCGCGACACCTCTGCGGACAAGCTCTCGGCTCGCGCCGTCCCCTGTGTCTTCCTTGGTTTCCCGGTAGCCTCGGCCGACTGGTCCTTTTACCACCTGCCCCTCCACCAGTTCCTAGACTCTCGTGACGTCCGGTTCGACGAGTCAGTGTCCTACTACACCCGGTACCCCTGTCGAGGTCTCCCAGTTCCCCCTCCCCCCCTTTTCCTCGCACCCTCTCTTCCCCCTGCTCCCGCTCCTCCGGTACCCCCACCCCCCCCTGGTCCTGCCCCTTCAGGTGTGTCTCACGCTACCCCTCTACCCTCGGTCGCGCGTCAGGTAGTGCCCTCAGTGGCTAGAAGCCACCGGATCAGCGTAGAAGTCACCTCGGACTTCTTTGCGAGAGGAAACACCGTGGTGTACCTGGAGAAGTCGTCGACGACCACCAGAAAGTAGCGCTCCCCCTCAGGTCCCTGTGTAGGTGCAGGGCCCCAGACATCCAAGTGGAGCGTCTGGAAGGGAGCAATGGCCGGACGAAGGGAGGAGGAGTGCGGAGTGGCACGGAGACGGCCGGCGATGCAAGGAGTGCACGGCGGTGCAGGCGAGGGAGGGAGCAACGGGAAGACGCGAGGGGGACCTGAGACAAGACGGTGACTAGCCATAGTGCGGAGGCGGGGGATCGACGGGTGGCCAAGACGGTGGTGCCACAAGACGGTCCGGTGGGTGAAAGACCGACACGAGCAAGACACAGCAACCTGACCAGACGCGACAACCGGAGGAGATGCAACTACCTGACTGGACTCGACAACTGGCGGAGGCGCAGGAACCTAGGGGGACGCAGCGACCTGAGCGGACGTGGAAACCGGGGAGTGCTCGGTGTGGAGGACGTAGAGACCGGAGCGCGGCTCCCTGGTGAACGTGGCCAAAACTCTGCCAGTGACAGCGTCCGTACAGACTGCAGTCCGCCCACCCCCCAAAAAGGTAACAGTGATCCCCCTGTCCTGGAGGTATCCAACACCCACCAAGTTCCGAGTGAACGAGGGGATATGGAGGCCGCGCAGGACACCAGAGGGGACCATAGAGCACGGGAGGATGGTAGAGCTGCGTGCCATGGCTGGTCCTGAGGAAGGATCAGCCAGGGCTACCGGTACAGGAGCAAGGAGCGGTGTGAGTGTCGTGTGGTCGCGAAAGAAGCACTGCAACGCGCCAGAGTCCATCGTGAAAGACAGAGACGCCACAGCCTGTGGTGTACCCGGTGTGGAAGCTACACAAGCACCTAGAGCAGAAACACAAGCACCTATACTAGAGAGGCACAAGTCTACGCTAGCAAGAGGCAAGCAAGCTAATCCACGAACCCGCGAGCACACAGATCCATCAGCACTATAGTCAACATCAGCATACAAAGCATACTGACGAGCATCATCCATAGACAGATCAAAGACAGGAATCTTACGGGCTAACAGGCGAGCCCAGCGCGGAGTGGTCGCCTCAGGGCCCCAACGGGCACGGTAGAGGTCGTCGAGGCGGCGGAAGCACCGCGCGGCATAGTGGTCGTCGCGGCCGCAGGCACAGGGGCTGGCCGGTCCGGTGAGGCACCAGTGGTCACATGGGCCGGTGTCACGGCGAGGGGGGCGAGGGACCCAGCTGGAACTGCTGCTGCTGCGGCCGGAGCTCCCTGGTCCTCCCAGACCCCACTGCGGCGGGGGGCCCTAGTGCTGCTGCGAACCCCAATGCAGTGGGGGCCTTCAAGGCTGGAACTGCTGCGGTGCCTGCTGCTGCTGCTGTCCCTGCTGTTGCTGCTGTCTCTGCTGTGGCTGGTGCTGCTGTGGCTGCTGCTGCTGAGGTCCGACACCCCCGCCGGTCTGAACACTGCCCGTAGGCGGGCCTGTCTGTCCTGCATCTCCTCCAAGGCTCCCTCCTCCTGGTGCACCACCGGCGCCGCCGCCACCACCACCACTCCCAGCTCCACCTCACCTCCTCTCCTCATCCCTCTTTCACCTCCTTGGTACCTCTCCCCTCTCCTCTCCTTCTCTTCCTTTCGCCTCCTCCTCCTCATTTAACTCTCTGCCGTCTTCCACAGCGCCAGGTGTACCCCTTCAGGGGGTGTTGACTGCACTAGTTATTACTGCAAGCAGGCTAAGGGGGTGTGCTAAAGTTATATTTATTATCTATCCTGCTTGCTGTAGTTATTGTAGTGTAGTTCGTTAATTGCTTGTTTGGTGGTGCACCTTTGCTAGTTTGTTATGTATGTACCTTGTGTGCTATAGTGAACCCAACCATTCTCACTTTCCCTTGGCACAAACTCTCTCGACATACGTTGGCCTAGGCTTCTAAGCCTAGGCCTTAAACCTTACGCTAGTACTTTGACACATGCGACTAGCGATGACTCGCTATTGACTCGACACACACACATTCGACATCACGACTTAATCATTCACACACCTTTATAAGCATGACCTCATATCATTCCATGCACACACGCATGCACGCACACTGACAACAAGTCGAGTGCAAACTGTAGGTTGCACCAACAAACTCCCCTTCGGTGTTGACTGGAATGGCTCTGAACCGCTCCTCTCAGTTGCACCAACACCAAAGAACCCGCGACAAGTGCTGAAGGGTCCCCACAGCAAGGAGTGGCGTGAGGCAATGGATCAAGAGATCCGAACGCTTGAATCCCGGGACATCTGGGTGCTCGTCGATCACGCCACAATCAAAGGAAAGAGAATCCTTTCCAGAAAATGGGTCTTCCGAGTGAAGACCGCAGCAGACGGCACGATTGAGTGCTTCAAGGCGTGCTGGGTTGTACGCGGCTATGACCAAAGGCATGGCATTGACTTCGACCAAACATTTGCGCCAGTCAGCCATCACACCTCCGTCAAGATCTTGCTCGCCATCGCCGCAGGAAGACACATACCGCTCCGACAAATTGACGTGATGAACGCATTCCTTTATGCGTTAGAGGACGCAGTAATCTACGTGGAACAACCGCACACATACGGCGAGAGCGAATCACGTGTGTGCCAGCTGCGGAAATCCCTCTGCGGGATCAAACAGGCGCCCAGGCTCTGGCAGCAACACCTGCACAATATCCTGCTCGAGATAGGCTTCAAGCAACTGCCCCACGATCCCGGAATGTACTGCCGAGATCTTCGCGGTCTACTCACGGTCTACGTCGACGAATTACTCACGGTCTACGTCGACGATCTGCTCTATATAGGGTCAAGCACCGAGCTGCTTGAACAATTCGAAAAGAACTTGGCGGGGCGGGTCGACACTACCTGCAACCATGACATGAAGTAGTTTCTTTGCGTCAACATCTCTTATGCGCCAGAAGCCACTCACCTCTCAGCAGCCAAGTATGGAGAAGAACTTGGCAAACGCTTCAATATTGCGCCTGCACCGCTCTCCACTCCTTACCGCACTACGGACCGAACCACAAGCCCGACAACAAAGCCCTGTCTCCCAATTAACTCCAGACTTACCAACAGCAGGTTGTCTGCTCTTCGCCTCTATTACCTGCTGGCCTGATCTTTTGTACATCGCGAGCCAACTGGCTCAGTACTCCCGCAAACCGATGGCTGGGAATCTTCTAGATCTTCAACGCGCTCTGAGGTTCTTCATCTCCACGCTCAACATCGGACTCTGCTACTCCACAATTGCAACCCCGTTCTTCAACCCCATTGGCTACGTGGACGCCAATCATGCTGCTGATCCTGACAATCCGGTCCATAACCGGGTTCCTGTTCCGACTCGAGCCCACAGGACCCATCTCCTGGAACTCGGAGAACCAAGAACTGGCTACCCTGTCATCGGCGGAAGCTGAATTCATCGCCGCGACAGCAGCAGCTCGCGAGGGGCTTTATCTAAAGGAGCTCCTACAAGAAGCGAAAATCCCAATTTTGCCTACCTTTCGCCTGCACTGCGACAACCAGAGCGCGATCAGGATAGCGAACAAGCCAGGATTCGTCAACCGCACCAAGCACATTGCGCTGCAGTACTTCTTCGTCAAGGACGAAGTTGACAAGGGGAAGGTTGTACGTTTCCTTTGCGACGGAATTTGAACTGCTCTAGGGTTTCGACGTCCCTTTTTTCTTTGTCTCTCCCACTCGTGAGTGGAGCCCAGTTCTTCATATCAGCCCCATACTCACGCTCCATCTGCTGCTATCTCCTAAAGGTGAGAAGACTTGTAGCTTTTAAGTAGAGACTATGTTAAAAGATTACGAGCTAGACTAAGATCTTCGCTTACTTCCGCATTTGGTCGTTTTAACTAGCAGTTTAAGCCTAAGTTCCAGGCCTTTGTAAGGACGTCAGCTTTCCTTAGGTCGTTAATAAGGCTGCATGCTTATTTTCATTCCCTATCGCGCTCTTATCTCTCGTCTTACCTTGCGATGTCTCTATTTATATGCTTTCCAATTATTGTTTTTCCCTTTTTGTTTTCCTTCCAGTCCCATGTTCGTTCCTTTCTGATCTCGTTCATTCCGTTTATTGAGATTTTATCGAGCTGTTCCTTCCTTTTAATAGATTCCGCATCTAGTGACGTTTGTCTTGGTTTCCGTTACCTTTCTTTCTTTATCCTTTCTTCACCTTTGTCAGAATGTTATTGTTCTCTAGCCTGCAGTGGGGTACTCTATAGCGAGTACAACCCCCTAGGGTTTCCTATATGTATCCTGCTGCTTTCTAGTGAACCTCCTCCTTTGCTTATTCTCTCTTGCCTAGCTAGGGCTTACCTAGCTATGGCTCCTAACTCTACCTACTATCTTCACATGGTATCAGAGCACTCACGCTCCTGGCCTGTGGGCCTTACTGCTGCTTCCGC